GAGTTCCCACTCCATATTGGTCAATATGAAGGCAACAATCACAACACCTCAAAGTGCAATAGGTATTGTATTTTAATGATAGGATGACCTGATGTTTTATATAATGACACTGAAGTTCCATTGAAAATTGCATTCTTGTTTTGAGTGTGATTTGTCAGTCTCATTGTAAATAGTTTTTTATTTATTTTTATTTTTATTTTTTTTATTTGGCACTTTGAGGTGTTGTGATCATTGCCTTGATTTGGGCCAATATGGGATGGGAGCTCCTCCTCCAGTCATCCAACTAGCCTCTAAATTATCTTAACCATCTGTGTAAAATACAATACCGCTGACTTTTATTGCCTGTGTCATTTTTAACCGTTTCTCTTGTCTGATGAAGATCCTTCTTGAAACTAGCTATTTAATGGAGAACTTTGAACTTCAAAATTTTTTAAACTACATTTAAGGCAGCGCCTCCTTCCGAGTTGTTTAAGCACAAAACTTTTACTGGTGTTCCTGAAATGATTGGCACAGTTTGCAATTGACATTTCTTTTTTCCATAGACTAAGAAATCATACATGTCCAGTCATCAGACTAATGCGGCAGTTATCAGACAAATACTTTTTCTTCCTCTTTTTAAATTTTTTTTTTTTTTTTAAAAAGAAGCTTCATCAGTATAAATCCAGAAAGAGGAAGGAAGACCCAAAGGTTATCTCCAGGAGGAACGGAAAGGTGGTTCAGGAAATAGCTGCAAGTGTCAACCCGCATGTTGCCACACTGTTGAAAAATTTGCTGGACTTTGAGTGGGACTTCATTTAGGTAGGTTCATTTAGGCTGTCTTGTCGCTATGATGTCTTTATTTTGTGCTTGCTTCAACTCCAGTAAAACAGCACACTAAAATTTTTTTCCTATAAACTTTGTATTGGTGTGCTTGCTAAAGCAGCATCCAAGAATCATAGCAACCACTTAGCAACACCCAGCCACCTTTATAGTAGTATTTAAAATGTTCTACTTGTACTTGTGGGTGTTTTTATAAGAAATTGCAGTAATAGCAATGCTTGTAGTTGAAGTGGTAGTTGAAATATTTTAATTACTGATGCTTTAATCATCTGCTTTTATAACAACTGCTGTTGATTTTACTTTTAAAAATTTTACTTAGACACATTCATTCAGTCATGCTACTGTTTCAGTACTATATTCTTATATTCTTTTCTTTTTATTGATCAGTAGGGGACTGTAGGCTACAACTACTGCTTCAGTTACTGTACCTACTGCTTCAAATACCTCAAATGCCTTAATCACTGATTCAGCTACTTTACCTATTTCAGCTCTTGCATTAAGCACTTCAACTACAGCTTCAATTACTTCAACAACTGCTTAAAAACAGTTAATCACTAAAAAGAGCTGTTCTTCAGACTTCATAAAATACATGTAGTAAGGCTATATCTAGTTTATCTATTGTTTTAGCTACATCAAGTGCTGCTTAAAAATACTGCAACTATCTATTTTTTTTAAGCTGAAGCAAGCTCACATTGTCTTCTTAAAATATAGCCTTTTTCTAGTTTCTGCTTGGCTTTTTTCCTTTCCACCAGCTCTACGTAACTTTACAAAATTGCTATTGAAATATAGCATCAAGAACAGTGTAGCACTGACAACAGCATCAAGAACAGTGTAGCACTGGTTTGGAATAGCAGTGTATTTCAGACTAATGCTACACTGTTTTTGATGCTGTTGAAAGTCAGGGCTACACTGTTTTTGATGCTATTTAAACTCAGCATCTCATGCTCATGATTAAGGCTTGTCAGTAATTGCTGTATAAATAATTGAGTACTTTAAATAAACTGCAGCAATATTTTTTTGAATGTGTATCCTTCTGGAATTCTACTTTTTTATTTTTGGTGATTTATAAGAATTAAAGTAGCCTTTGTAAATAAACAGTAACATGCTGGCATATACTGTAAAACAGCTGTAAAAAAACAGTTATTCTACTGTCATACTGTAATCCAATATACATTAATATATTGTTAAATTACTAAAATCACTAACATTACCATAATAGTTATTCTACGGTCATATACTGTAATTTAATATACAGTAAAATACTGTTAAAATAAATTACAGTAGATGTACTGTAAAATAATAGTAAAATGCTGTAGTCTCTGCTGCCAGTATTTTACTGTTTAATTTACAGTGAAATTCTTTACAGTGTATTCTAGCCTATGTGATTCAATGATTCCAACAAGATAAAAACATTACTCACCTAATGCATGTCCTGTTCGCTTCATTTTTTCCAGTAAGGCAAAATAAACTTCCTGTTTTTGTAAAAACAAAAGGAGTTTTATCATGGCGTCAATTTTCCCCTGACCAAAAACCACTTGAATGCATTTCATGTCATAATTACAATCTCTGAAATTGTAAAGAGGAATTTCCAAGGAGGACTTGAAGACACACACAACACACACACGCACTCAACACATACACTGCAAACACATGCACCATGCATACACCACAAACTCACCACACCACACAAACCACACCACGTGCACCACAGAGACCACACCACACACACCCAAATCACAAATGCATCACAACACACATACAAATCACAAACACAGCACACAGCCACAAACACACACCTCACAGACTCAACACACAACAAACGCTCCACACCACACACTCCACATAAGGTAGCACCACAAGGCACTGGAGGATTTAAAATACCAATAGATTTAAGGTGGCAGTATATGTAAGGTACCAGTGAATTTAAGGTTGCAGTGTATTTAAGGCACCGGTGGATTGAAAGGTGGTGACGTATTTAAGGTGTTAGTAGTTTTAACGTAGCAGTGTATTTAAGGTATCAGATTATTTAATATATCAGTAAATTTAAATTATTAGTGAATTTTAGCTAGCAGTGCACTTAAGGTGGCAGTGGATTTAAGGAAGCATTAAATTTAAGGGAGCAGTGGATTTAAGGAGGTTTAAGATAGTAGGAGATTTAAGGTGGTAGGAGATTTAAGGTAGCAATAGATTTGAGGTACCAGTGGAATTAAGATCTGAGTGGATTTAAGATACCATTGGATTTACAGTAGCAATAGATGAAGTAGAACAGTATAAGAATAGTAAAATAGTATTGAATTAGAATGAGTAGATTAGTGCCAGTGGATTTAAGGTAGCAGTGAGCCTGTGGAAGCAGTGGATTTAAGGTTCCCGTGTATGTCATAGCATAACAACCACCTAGCAACACCTTAGCAACGACCAGGGACCCCATAGCAACCTTCTAGTAACTGCCTAGCAACATCTAAGCCACAGTCTAGCAACCATCAATAGACTTCCACCATTTTAACGTTTTAATGTAATTAGCTGGCTTTTTCAAGCCAACTTAAAGTTCATTCACAAACTTTCCCTTTCTAGTTATTACAGTTTTTTATGATTGCTTAAGCACAATTTTGAAAACAGGGCTCACTTTCTCCAAACACTACACACAGTTCATATAGCCACACACATAAGAAACACTTCAATCAAAACTGTACAACAATTTATGAAAATACAATTTTGTCACTGTATGGCGTATGTGTTCAATCTAAAACATTTAGAATGCATATTAATTAAGCACATGGTAATTACTTAATTCATACTGTTCCTCGTTGTCACTTGTTAGCAGATTTCGTCCTATAATCTTCGTGGAAAATGTACTTCTCATTAAAATAAAGGCTAGAAATACTTAATTGTTTTTTCTTTCTCACCACCTGCTTCAGTCTACTGCTTCCACAATCCCCTGAGCAGGAGTCATGCACAACATCCATGCTAAGCTTATCACTTGCAACCATGTCCACTTATAATTAGTTTGATTATCCTTCAAAAGAGCTCATTAACACTGAGATTAATAACTGATCATCACATTGATTTATCAGTCTTTAACAGAGCTCAGTAACACTGAGATTAATAACAGATCATCCCATTGATTTGTCAATCTACTCAGCATTGATTTGTCAGTGTGCTCAGGCTTTAGCAGAGGTCAGTAACACTGAGATAAATTATTGACTCGTCACCTCTTCACATTGATTTATCAGTCTACTCAGGCTTTAGCCAGAGTAACATTTGGTTAAGAAACTGTCAATTGAGGTCCTATTAAGGATTCATCTAATGAGCACGTTTGCTACATTCAGTGCACAGATTTAAAAACAAGCATCAATAATGTTCCTTTTGAAGATTTTGTTTTTTATGATTATTTAGTGGGAAAGGATATATGGAATATAAAAAGTAACTTTATTCTGAATGTTATCTTTACAAAATGTAACTACAGTTTTACACCTCAGACAGCATATTCATAAACAAGTCACGAAATAACTTTGTGAGGAAGCAGTCATTAAACTCCTCAGATGTCTAGCTCCTATAACCACTACTGTGTTTCTCTCTACAATTAAACATTACACATCAAACCACTCAGAATAATGTTTACATTTCAGTGAAAATGATCTCCTTTAACTAGTAAGACTTAGCACAGACACCTATTAACAGCTATTCATATTTTAGCTAACATTTACATTTCACAGTTTTACATGATGCATGAATTAATTGGGCTAAAGATATTTACTAAAGCATTAGTGGACTTAGAATTAGTAGAAAAAACAGCAGGCAAAGTAAAGAAATTCTGTTGGTGTGTAAGATAGAACTGCCTAATATCAAACCCAATATGAAAAGTCAATGTGCACTGCTCTTGGCTTGGCATAAACAAAACACAGAAAAGCCAAGCGGTATCATCACATTGGTCACATAGTTACCTCAGAAATATTGCTTCGTATCTTATATTGTTCTTTATTTAGTTTGATTCAGACCTTGTTGCATATTAAACAGGTTTTTAGCGTCAGTATATTAGTTGAATGTGGTTGCAAAGATTTAAAAGTAATGTTGTGGTGCTTGTAACTGCGATTAGAGTGATAGTTGCTCAGCCTCAGCAGTGCCGCGTTTTGCTCGGCCAATCAGACGGCGTCATGTGCGGAGGTCAATGAATATTAATGAGCTTGCCCCGCGTATCCTACGAAAAGAAATTTCGCTTACAGGAGAGTAGACGACAAAGCAAAGAGTAAGCATAGAGACCGACCAAGCCGGGAAACCAAGGGAATCGCCGCCGAAAGAAAGTGGAAGTCGAATAATTTGCAGTCAATATCTTGCTTATGTAAAACACAATAATATAGTTAGAGTTTCGATAGAAGCGAAGAGTTCGATATTCTAACTGAGAAGACACTGGCATTCCACGCAGAAACATAAAAATGTCGTCTCCAAGTCCGGGTAAAAGGCGAATGGATACCGACGTGGTGAAACTGTATCCTTCAGAACGTAAAGAGGAAGATGGCTTTAACCTTTACCTTTAGGTAGCAACAGCTGTGATAAAAACATTACATTTTCTCCCTATGTGCCAGTTTTACCACAATACATGGGGTCCGCAGTGACAGTGGTCAGCTTTTTAACAGCAAACATGGAAAAAAAAAGTTTTTTAAAGGATGCCAGCGCTGTCCATAACTATTTAGTCATGTAGGTTAGCAAAATTGCAGTAGCTGGCTAGATACGTATTAGCATGTGTTGCTAGTGTTGTTATTATCTGTGTTACTAGCTGGCTAGCTAGTAGTATCACCTCAGTAAATGCAGTTTTTACATTATACGGTTGTATAACGATTATGACTGGCCTAGCTACCAGTGTTGCAGCGCAAAGTTTGTTAATGAACAATTTAGATTGAAGGGACTGTATCTTGTTTTGGTCAGCTAACTAGTTATAATACTTCGCTAGTCTGCTAGCCGTATCATGCACGATGTTACCGTCATTCTCCAGTTAATGGCTACAATCTGAATAGTAATTCGGTTGTAATTCAGAATCAGTGAAACGATCATAGCCAGTGTGGCATATCTTTGTGTTGCTGAATTATGTCTTCTTAGCGAGCGATTACGAAGCTAGCCTGCTAACTGGATAGCCAAGATGATACTGAAATTGAGGCCCAGTTGTCGTGCTTGTTGTCCACCGAACAGAGAACAACTAGAAAATAATGTTAAACGAGTGGTGAAACGACATAGCAAAAATGATATGTCGCATATTTTTGGTAAATTTAGTTACACGAATGTAGGTTGATTTGAATCGAAACGAAAGAGTGAATACATGTTCATTTGACAAGCGCAAGTTTTGTTTTTTCCTTGGTGGCTAGCTAAATAGCTAACATTTGCCAGGACGGCTAACGTTAGGTTGCTGCGCAATAACTGTTAATATACGTGGTTTTCTAAATGCGTAGATGATCCATTTTTTTTTTCTTTTGTTAATGTCCAGTGTTATTTTTCAGAAAAATGTTCTTTTAGTTTCTGTTTCAGCATGGAAAAGCATAATGTCTAGTACTAGTTGTGGTGTAGTAAAATAAGTTTCCTCTGTAGAGTCGTTTCAGTTAGACTGCATTCTGCATTTTCATAAACAATGACACATTTACTATCTATACACGGTTCAACTGTGATTAGCCAGTTAAAGATTTTCATGCATACTCTTGTCAAAGGCGGCGTGACTGTGCATAAATTCCTCGCGTGTTGTGCTCTTGGGTAACGTTATTGATCTAGAACTTTCTCCTTGCAACGATGAGAACCCGTTCTTTTTAAATTACGCCCCTTACATACGTCAACATGCTAAACGTTCATAAAACGTGATGAAGATTAAGTTAGCACTTATTTTTTGAATGCATCTCATGCAGTACTCTGCCGGCGTTTCGTTGTTGTTACTAAAAATTGCAATCAAATAATTGGTGAACATATTAACAAATGCTTGAAAGTACGCAGAACTGAGACCAAGTAGTTGCCTATGGTTTTGTCTGTGGCACCAGAAAAGGGTGTGATGATTGGCTAGTCTGTTACTACCCGGAAGCTGCTGAGAAGTGGTACTAGAATAACTTGAGTGAGTGTCAGTAGTTCATAGTTTGATGGCTGGGGAGAATTTTCTCAGATTTCTCAGTTCAGTGTACCAAACAAAAAGAGAGAAACCACATTATTGTTCAGCCGTCTTGACCCTTGGTTTATTTTATTTTGCAGTTGATAGTTCTTGTTTTGTGAAATACTCCCAGCAGTGGGGACTGGGGCTGTTCAGACTGCCTAACAAGTAGTGATGACTTTTCATAGTTCTTAAAGAGTGCACTGAAATAATTCTTTTTTTTTGTTTAAGGGTAAGACTTTCTTTGAAGGAGGGCATGCCACATTAGTTATTTCATTAGTAAACATAAAAACACTGTCCCTCAGTTTTGTTTCGTTTTGACCTCACAGCCTGTCCACTCTGCCTATATTTGTGTGTTCATGTGGAGGGTTCACCATGCCTGCTGAAAAGACGCCATTAAATGTTTCTGTTGGTTCCTGGTAGTGTCCAATAGGCGCTAAATGTGTTTTGTGTTTTCCTGGTGGATTAATATCAAAGTGTAAAGGATTTTAATGGTTAAACAGGTGTTTTGGGATTGATTCCCGGTGCATTTGATGGTTTCCTAATGGGGTCTAAAAGTGACCTACAGGAAACTAGTGGTCTCTAATGGTAACCATTAAGCCAGTTGCCATTAAAAAGCAAAAACATCAGGTTTTAATCCTAATGGTTCTAATTTTTTTTTTTTTCCAGCAGGGACATCAAAGGCTATTTAGGGTAATTAGGGGAGAGTGTAAGTAGACTGTAAAATCCTCTGACAACAAGCAAGCATTGATGCAGACTTGCCACAAAACTCCAAGGAAGTGCAACATATTTAGCAGGATGGTGGAAAGAACAAAAAAAAATGTTCCATCTTACTGAAGTTCCACCTTATGAAGTTAAATCTCAAAAATTAGATTGTTGCCTTGTAACTATGGCCTTTTTTTACGCTGTAGGGTTGAATAGTTCTGAGCACAGAAGGTAACTGTTCCAGTGGCGTTTCCACATGTACTTTGCATAGAAGGCATGCATTTTGACATGAAAATACAGATTTGTCACTCTAAACTATGCTAAAAATTAATCCGTGTCGCTGTGAGTTCTATTGTGCATGTGCAGTGCTCAAATCTAACAGCAAGAGGCAGCAGTGTCTGGCCTTTCTAAAAGTAAGACAAGAAGAGTTTGAGTTATCATAGTGCTTGGCTCATTCTGTGGGGATGACAGATGCTTGATGTCAGTCGTTTTAAGAGGCTGCAAAATGATAGCTACATGAAATGTGTTTTAGCCCTCTCGTTCCCCCGCCTCACTCCATCTGTGTGGTTCCACAAGGGAGGATGGTGCTTCTAACTTCTTTGCAAAGGTAAACAGTCTGGAGTGGATGTGGAAAGTTGAAGTTGTGAATTGAGTTAAATTAACGCAGACCTGCCAACCTTGGGAAAATATTTGACGTCAGTATTAGCCTAACACTATGTAATTTGCAAGCTAGTTTGCTTGTTGACCAGACATTTAAGTTGTCAAAGTAATGTTAAGTTATATTGTCCACGTGTTGCAGATTGCTGAAGTGATTTTTCACTGTACCGTATTCATAATTATTATTGCAGCCAAATCTGTAATCATAATTAGCGGATCATAGCAGGATGAGAGTGCACATGCTGCAGAAATAATGTTACCTGGAATGTTACCAGGAGGTGTGTGGGGGTGTATGTGTGTGCGCCTCACAGTTAAAATAAGCATGATGTCAGATGAGGAGGATCATGACAGAGAGGGAGAGAGCGAGCAGCCGACCTTGTTGAATAACCAAACTTGATATAGTGGGAAAATGACCCCAGGTGGAGTTTAAATTATAGTTTTTGAAGCAATACACTATTGTGCTGCGCGAAGTATTTCCAACATTGGAAGGTCTGACAATGTTGCTATTTGCTGATTTGATTCTAGGCTTATTTGAAACTTTGAAACTTGAAAACAATCAGACAAGTTCAGTCTGCTCACATGGCAACCAAATACATTAAAGCAGCGCACGATGTTGAATCCACCATTCAGTAGACGTCAAAGCTTCAGTCTAACACCAGTTTCTGAATGTTAAACAGTGCCGCTAACCAGGAAAGAGTAGCTGGTTAGCATTAATTTGGCTAGCATGCTGCCAGCTCTGCTTACCTCAGAACAGGTTTGATTCTGACTAACAGTAGCTGTACTGATGCAATTTTAGATGATAATGACTCAAATTTGGGGAAACCAAGTTGAGCGGCTGGTTTTGGAGCTACACAATGCCAGAATTAAACCTATTTTTTGGTGTTTGGAGTTGTAGCCTCCTAGCTAAGGCTAGCTGGCTACTTTCTCCTAGCTAACTTTGCTTAGCTAGTGAGGTCAAAATACCCTAGTATAGGTTCGAATTGACTAACTGCTGTAACACGTATTGAAGATAAAAACTTAAAACAGCGAGAGCAAAGTCAGTTGATTTGTGTCGGAGTGACAAAGCCGAAATTAAACCAGTTCTCTAGTAGGCTAAGCTAACATTAGTGTTTGTGCCTCCTACAGCAGTGCAGGCTTGATTCTTGCAAACCAATGCTTAATAGATCCCACTTAGAGGATAAAGATACGTATCTTGGATCATACATTCGAACATCTGCTGTTGAAGTGACAAAGATGGAAAAAATAGAATTGGTCTGAGGTGCTTGGAGCTGTACCCCGCTGGGCTACGCCATGCTAGTGTAGTTAGCAGGCTACAGGTTTAACCAAAGTCGTTATAGAGAGAGTTTGTTCACTCAGTGATCATGTTTGCAACGCCGCCAGGCAGTTATTTCCAGCCAGACAAGACCAGACTCCTGTCTCTTTGAATGCAGAGAGACCAAAATATTCAAAACTGAAGGTCAAGTTACTGTTTTAAAATGTTTGAGAACATTAGTAAAATGTGATGACAAATCTCCATAAATAGTTTGTATTATTTGGCCCAATAATGCACAAAAAAATGTGCTCATGACATACCCAGCAAGCTGATTGGCTGTTTTCTTGAAAGGCAGGGCTTTATCTGCACACAGACAGCATGGTTAGCATTACGACCTTTACCATTCTTATTTTAACCAGCAGAATCACAGAGAGACTGGTGATGGAGTGACAGACGCAGTCAAACGTGTGTTGTGGTGGGTGCTGTGTGTAGGTATTAGCTTGTTAGCAGTTAGCCACTTTTTTGTTCTGTTTTAGCAGCATAGCAAAAAAGAAACCATAACAGTCTCATGAGTCCACACCAGTGTGGAACAGAACAGTACGGCCCTGAGAACCGTTTGGCTTGACAGTGGAAAAGAGGGCTATGCATTAATCAATAAAAAAATTAAATGCACGTTTTATTGAATATGTTAATAATTTTAATGTAATACATATGTTGTTGTTACCTTTTTCTTCTGTAAGTTTCATTTTTGTGT